GCACTGCTAAAGCACCAGGCTCACTTTGTGAACATCACTCCTTCACTGTTCCACACTGGGATGCTCCCAGTGAGGTACAAGACACCTTGGGGGTTTGGCATCCACAGGCTCCCTTGCAGCTTCCTTGTAGCCAGTTCCTATTACACATCTGAGCTGCTCTGATGGGAACCTGTGTTTGAGACTAATAAGAAGGAGGAGGGGGAAACAGAAGTTGTTTTGAAAGCAGAAACTTTCTCTTTAAAACAATAAACAGGAAAAGGGGAAAGATCAATGTTAAAATTCATTGAGGGGAAAAGAAATATATGGAAATGAGTTTAAATGAAATGTATTTCTTCCTCTGGAGATGCTTCTCTGTTTTTCTGTAGCCTTATTAATCACCTTCTTTAGAAGAGGCAAGGGAGAACAGAAACCCAGTGCATGAGAATGTGAGAGCGAGGCTGGAGGACCACTTTGCACATGTATTTATTACATTAGTACTGCAGTTCTTTGATGCCAGCTTTAATTGACCTTCTTTTCTCCTAATGAGCCACTCAGAGAGGTGTTTGCCTCTTGCAGCAGTGTTGCACTCTCCTCCTTCTTCCTCTGGAAACGCACATGTGGGATCCCACTGAAAGAATCACTTAGCCCCTCAGTTCTCTCATCTGGGCTGTTGCACCATGGCTGGAAGGACCTTGGCTGTGCAGAGGTAAGAACTCTATCAGAAATACAACTGGTTCAATGCAACAGCCTCTGTGAGGGTTCTGGACATGGCCTCCACTCCATCCTTGAAGCCATATTAGAGACATCAGGCTAATGGTCCCAAATTTCCTCATTCTCTTTCATATATCTTCTGTTGGGTGTTTGATGTAAGGCTCCATGTTTTCAGGGTCACCTCGACTGACTACTTTTCCATATGGAAATCCTTCAGTGGTGCATGTAACAAATCAATCATGACTTCGGTGTGGTGCTTTCGCTGTTGGAAGGCAGTAATGAACCATCAGGCAGAAGGCTTGCCTGATGTTCATTAAACCTGGAAATGCCCTGCAGCACAGTAACAATAGCAGCAGTGAGATGAAAGTGGAAAGACGAGGCAGGGTTTCCATTCATTGGCAAACCCTACCTCCAGACAGCGTATTCTGGCCTGTGTCCAGAAGCCTTGCCAAATCAAGGGTAGGGTCTGGGCTCGAGGAAGCTTTCAAGGGGTAGGGAAGACACGAGTGAACTGTTTGCCTCTTCAAATCCTGGCCTCCGTTCCTATAAACGGAGGGGTTTTGTGGGGCAGTCAGTTTTGTGGGAAGGTAAAACAGACAGAAGAAATGGCAGTTGTTCTAAGGATTGACTTAGGTTGCCATCACAGATCCATCTTAGGTCACCGTCTGGTTGGAGCCAGCTCCATGGTTTCACTCAAGTATGACATGTACACTGAGGGCTCGTATGGGCTGTGTCTTCCCCTCAAGTTCTGCATTAGGAATGCTGCATTAGGATCCATGCTGGATCTGTGTTCACAGCGGGCTGAGAGCCCTCCAAGTTACCCTCAGATCTAAATCAGTGCTTCAGTGGAGCAAGGCCAGTTTACCCTGGTTGGCAATTCAGACCATGCTGCCTCTCAGTTCGGACCATATCAGCAGGTAGAAGGTCTGCTTACAGGGGTGGTGTGCAGGGCACTGCTTCCAGATGTGGCTGAACTCTCTTGCGTGCACTGTGTATACAGGAAACAGAACAATGTCCACTCTTCCTCAGCCACAGAAGGAAGCAAAAAGCATCCAATAAATTGTAATGGGGCTTTTAGCAGCGTATTTCCCCAATGCACATAAGCTGCTGCTGGATTTTATTGTGGATCAGATGGACAAAGGCAGTTACCACTGGGAAACAGACTTTCAATGGCTGAGTGCTCTTAGAGTTTACATGTGTCATCTTCACTTCAGAAGGAATCAAAGAGCTGGAAGACAAGGTGTCAGAGGGCAGTGTCAAACAAGTGTTTGCCGGGCTTCAGAGCCACCAGTGGGAAAACCAGAGCCCGATTTACAGCTTCCCATGCAAGCATTCTGATCAGAGCCAGGTTTTCTGGTGTCCTCAGCAGCCCGTCGTGGGCTGGCTGAATCACTGCAGCGATCCCGGTTGAATGGGTCATACAGGTCCAAGGTGTGGGTCTGTGGGGTGTACAGATTGATGCTTCCCCAGAGACTGTCCATGAGATGGGATGATTGTTACCAGGGTCTGCAATGCTGCACTGGAAGGAGCACCTGAGCTACTGAATCTGCCCATTTCTGTGCTAGGTGGCTGGTTCAACAGGTCTGTGGTGGTCAAAGATGGACCCAAGACACACAGAGGAAAGCTTTTCACAATGGGAACACCCAGCCATTGGAATAATCTCCCCAGGGAAGCGGTGGAATCCCCAGTGTTGGACATGTTTAAGATTCCACTGGACAAAGTGCTGGTTCATCTAGTCTAGGCCATGCTTTGCCAAGAAAGGTTGGACCAGATGATCCTTGAGGGGCTCTTCCCAACCTGGTATTCCGTGTTTCTCCCCTGAGGGCTGCAGGTGTGGTGGTTGCTCTTGGCCCAGGTGAGTGCACAAGCACTGGGTTGCAGGAATCAGGCTGTTCTCTCCCAACCCACATGTCCCCCCACCACTGTGCTCTTCCAAACCCAGATCTGCTCTCCTGGGCAGTGCAGACGATTATCTTCTGTGAAGAAGAAACCATCTCCCTTCTTCTGTTCGACACAGCAGAGCTGTGTATTTTGGCTTATTTGGGTTCTGCCTTTCATCCTGATACCATTTTGTTTGCTTTTACCTTTTCAGCAATGAGTATCACATTTATCTCCATCTGCTCTTTTGTTCATTATTTCTTCTTCTGTGCCTTCTTTTCTTCCATTTATCACTTCTCTTTCTGTTTACCAGCCCCTCCCCACCTTCCTCCCCATGTATCTTACAGGGCTGCTTTATCACAGCTTTCCAGTTTAGTGGATTAATTTTATTAGTTTCTTTTGTACGTGTCTAATTGACATGCAGTCACACAACCCATTTCCTTTCAGCACAGCTGACCTTTATTCCCTTGCAGGCAGAGTTTTTTCTTCTTCTCCAGCTAATACCTTTGCTCTGTTGCAGAGAACCAGAGCTGCAGCAGGGTTTGCTCACAGGGTGCGGAGAGTTTAGGACAGCAGCAGGAATCACACAGCAGTTGGACAGGAGAATAGAGCCGAGCTTTCTACCCTCTATAGCCATAAATGAGTGAGTTAAGGGGGCTTATTTTTCTTTCCACTTTTCTTTCTAACAGAATCTCTTCCCTCCTCTGAGAATTGCTGCAGAAGAGGCAAAGCAGTGCATGAGAGTACCTGAGCCTGGGCCCGGTGGTACAGGCTGCCTGCAACAACAGGAAGAGAAATCTTCTTTCAAAGGAAAGTGCAAAAGCTTCCTGAGCTTTGCCAATGCTCCTTGCTTCCCATTCCCTGTCTGCCGGGGCCTGTGCTTGTTCTGCAGCACAAACCCTTCTCGCTTCCAGAAGCCCCCAGGGTGCTGTAGTTCCAGTGCACGTTGCCATCGCTTAAGCCTCAGTGGGGCTTTGCAGGAGGGAGATCCAAGAAGAAACTGTGTCCTCATTCCTGCTGGGCAGAAGGAAGTGAGGCCAACGCTCCTCTTTTCTCTTAGCTCTTCTGAAAGACCTGAAATAGGCCTTTTGGTGGCAAGGGGTTGGAACTGGGTGATCTTAAGGTCATTTCCAACCCAAACCATTCTGTGATTCTACAATGGAAAAAAGCCCAGCCCCCAGGAGCCCTTTGGCTCCCCTGGATATGGGCTCCTGGTGCAGAGCACCAGGCAGACAGATCCCACTTTCCCAGTGTGTCCCTGCTCAGAGATGACACATTTCTCTCTCCTCCTTATTCCCTCACCCAGCAGAGCAGAAATGGCAGTTGACAGCCTTTTTTAGATGTTTTCATTGTAACTTTAATGGGCTAATTTCTCTCCCTGAATTGCCATAATTCAGATTTAATGAAACATGGCTTAGAAAATTAAAAATAATAAAAAAAAAAAAAAAGAATAAAAATACAGTAATAGAGTAGAATGCCCCATTAAGCTGAAGAACAAGGAAATAACATATGTAGAGATCTGATCACTCTGACCCTGCCATCCCAGTGATGCTGGCAGCCATCATGCACTTGCTTTGCCTCAGCATGGGTGACTGCTTCCCACCAGGAGAAAACATATAACACCACAATAATATATGAGTGGAGCTAGGAGGGGAACTGGTACCTCTTCCCTTTGCTTTCTGTGGATCACACACTTCCATGCTCCAGGCACCCAGTGATCCCCATCACAAGCTGTGCTAAGGGGATGCTGATCCTGCTGCTGCAGTGCTGGTACCTAATGGCTCCTCTGGCAGTGGGGCCCTGGGCTTGCTGCATGGCAGCAGCATATCCCTGAGGGGTGAGATGGCCCGAAAGGGGGTTCAGGCAGATCTTGTTGCTGCTTGATGCCTGCTCAGAATGGTCTTGTGTCTTTGGCCTCCTTAAGATTGCACATATGGAGATGTGGTTTTTAAAGCAGATATTAAATGGTCTTTGATGACCTATTCTGAATCCCATTAGCCAGGAGCTCAGCGTGGCATGGGTGAGGAAGGCTGGGATGCTTATGAGACTGCTCTGTCCAGGATGGCTCCAGGCTGCCTCCTGTTACACTAAGAGGGGAGAGCTGCACTGTTCAGTGCGTGCTCAGAGCCAGGAGCTGGGGAAGACCTGGCAAGTCCCATGCCTGAGCGGTGCCTGCACAGCAGTGCCATGTGCACTGCATATTGCAGCAGCCAGTTTCACATAGCTCATGGCAAAGCCACTTAGCAGAATAACTCTGTAGAAAGCCAACCATAATGACGAGAAATTGGGGATTTGCAGACTCAGTTTGTGGAAGGTTTGCTCCAGAGCCTGTGGGATGTCTCCCAAGTGTCCCTGCACCGACATGGGAAGAGCCCTGCAGTGCTAGGCCGGAACAGGTTTGAGCAGTGGCACATTAGTGTTCCTGCACCAGCTGGAGTATTCCTCCCTGAAAATGCTGACCTCCAGCCAAGAGCAAAAGCAGTTGAAGGATGAAATTCATTGTGATGCTGAGTCAACATGGGAGATTAATGCTTCTCTTTCATCTCATGACCCTTCATCTCTGTGTTTCAAATCAAGTACCATGGAAGATAGAGCCCCTAGCATGCTACCTGTGGAAAAAAATAGCAAAGAAAACAAGTGAAGGGCTGCACACTGCATCAGCCTAGGGAGAGTTATTCATTTCTCTCTGTCCTTTGTAGTTATATGGGCGGTCTAGTTACATCCCAGAGCAGCGCAGCCCAGAGAAGGGATGTCTCAGCTGGTGAAGATCCAGCTCTGCTCCTCCCCTCTGTGGTTCAGTAAGGGCAGAGGGGGGCTCTTTGTTGCTGAAAAAGCTAAAACCTGCAATCAGGGAAAATACAATGAAAGCAAGGAGGGACATTTTCAGGTTTCCAGCATCCTCAACCAAATCAGACTCTCAAGTGAACTGAAAGGAGACCTCCTGCTTTGTGTGCATCCCTCCTCATGTAGCTGAATTCAGCTGCTCTGGGCCATCAGGCAGTTGTGAGTCGATGGGAGAGTGTTTCAGACACAGGTTTGGGCTTACACTCTTTGTTTTCAGCCTGTGGAAGCTTCCAGTGTCCTATGGGCAGATTGGAGTCTATTAACCATGGAGGAGGATGCGTTGTTAAGTGTGACTGCTTCCATACAGTCGGTGCTGGGAGGCAGCATGCTTTGACCCTGAAGATTCCTGAGGCATTGTGACAAGCAAGATGGAAATAGGGCAGTTAGAAATTTCTTCTAAAATCAAGCCAAGGAAGGGAGAAGGAATCTTTATTCAAGCTTTAAGGGGTTCGTTATTGCTTAGTAATTTCATACTAGCAGCTTATTTACAGGAGAGGAAGGTTGCTAAAGTTCAGTTTACTTGTCTCAGTTAATCAGGTCCCATTCCCTGGGGATGAGCTAATTGGACGGTGACATTCAGTGGGATAATGAAATAAATGTCATGTCATATAAAGAGTTAATTAATGACATAGAAATGTTCACCCTTGTGGAGGCCTGGAGCTGGAGTTGATGCAGCATTTTGGATGCAGTGCTTCTCTGTTGAGAAACACCGCTTGGCATAAGTGTGACTTGGCATAAATGTCTGTGGGAGCGCATCTCTTTGGATGGAAATTGTGTTGGGAAGATTTATGAGGTCAGAGGAAGAACTCAGGCTGTTAGCTGGAGGGTGCTGCTTATGCAATGCTGCTCTCAGAGGTGGCAGCACTCACACTGTAAATGAAGACCTTGGAAAGTGTTCTCACCCCAAGCGCTTGCTGGTTCCTGTGTCCTTCACAGCCAGGATGGGTGGCGTGATTGAAACATCATTACTCTGTGGGCAGGAATAGATGGGTTGGCCATGCAAGGCTGCAAGGTCAGCAATATGGTGACTGCTGACACTGGTGTTTCTCTTTATGGATGCCAGAGAAAACTTGGAGGAAGCTGCTCAGATGCTCTGTGTAGAAGAATATCATTTCTGGACAGATGCACTAAGACAGAAAGTTGAGGAATTCATTGTATTGTGTCTGATTGAAAGAGAGTTGCTTATGTACAGACCTTACCCTGGGAATTGTAGAGGAGAAATCCATAATTGGAAAGCCTCTTGTCCATCTGCTTATTCCTCTTGAGGGATGAATGGACTCTGGGAAGCCTAGCAGCAGGGCTGGGGATGTTCACCACTCAGCTGGAAGGCACAGACTGATGTTACTGAGGGGCAGAATGGGACACGTACCTTGTGTGAATGTGCCTGGAGAGCAAACCTTGCTGAGCACATCTGCTGGCAAAGAGCTTGCAGGTGAGAGCCCTGGCCTTACTGCTAAATGGAGCTGGGTTCATTCCCGGAGACTTCTTCTTTCCTCAGGCTCACTGCATGAGCCACTGTTTTCTGCTGGAGCAGGGCTCTCATAAAGGTGTTTGCTGCATGGGGTCTGGTGCTAAGTCATCAGCTACTGAGCTATTTTAACGGGCGTATTACTGTATTTCTGGCACCATCTGCTCCTCTCTCTGATTACTGATGCAAGGAAGGATTAAGAGAAAGTCTTTTCCCTCTTTCAGCAGGAAGGGAGTTATTAGTGCTTTAAACACACACATGAATCTGTTCTGCATGCCCAGCAGCAGCTGGCATTTCCTCCCTGCTTTTCCCCATGCAAACTGGTGGAGGAAATCTAATTGGTGAGCGGGGATCTGTGGCTGAGAGCTGTGCTGGGTGCTGGGAGCTGCTGTTTGCTTTAGTTTTTCCCCAGGAGCATGTTGTGGTCCCAGCTCCAAGGCTGGTTTGGCAGGTTATGTCACTGGTTTATGCCTGTGCATTCCTTCCTGGAATGGTGTGAGGGCTATGCACCGACAGAGCGGAGAAGAGGGTGCAGTGAGGGGCTCTCTCCAAGTTCATACCCAGCCTTTGCAGAATGAGCTTGCTCTCAGGAGAGCCTCCTTCTCTTGTGCGGTTGTTACTCAGTCCTGCATGGGGATCAGGACCACAGGGAGGCTGTGTGTGAGGTTGCTGATGGGCTGAGGGGTACCTCAGCATCCGTCAGTGCCAGCGAGGAGGAGATGCTGACACCCATCAGTAAAACATCTTCTGTGGCAAATGAAAGGGAGCAGCAGCAGCAGGTACCTGGGAAGCCACAAAGAGGTGAAATGGGGGCTCCCCAGGGCTGATCCTCAGCTTGGTCCTGTTCTCCTGCCTACCAGGCTGCACAGAGCATAGAAATCAGTGCACACAACTAGGGAGCAAGACTGAAAAAGCTGCATCAGAATTCAGTGCTTGTTTCATTTGTGGGTGTCGAGCTCTCTCTTGGCTACCATAAACCCACTGCAGAGGGAGCAGGCGTGGATAGAAATGGCACCATGGCATGGGTGTAACGTGGCACATGGCATAACATATAGGTCTGGAAGAGACCTGCAGGTGCCCTGGGGTGAGCTGTGACTCTGTAGTGAGGATTCAGCTTGTTCTAATGGCTCAGACATGGGAGGATTGCCTAAAGCTCTCAAAATACAAGGGCTGTTGTGTGATGTTCCCCTCTCACGGCTGCCTGGAGTCCATCAACCTCCTTCTCCAAGGTAATTATGGGAAAACACAAGGAGGATTGTTGGAGGGTTTCCCAGGAAAGGGAGCAGAGCCCCAGGCCTTACGGCAGGTCTGGGCAGCTCCATGACGTTGAGTGACGTTGGGCAACACGGCTGGGGTCTCCCCAGTGCTGCATGCTCTCATGGCTGTTCTGCACTGCTCACCACTGCAGCTGTGACAGGAGCCAGATCACAGAATCCCTGTGTCAGGGCTGGACAAGCCTCCAAAGTCCAAGAGAGAAGTATGGGGAATGGCAGGTCAGTGCAGCTGCGGGGCTGGGCTCGGGGTGCAGGCTGGAGGACTTTGGGGTAATAGGAAATGCAGGGCTGGCTGTGGCTTGTTGGATATTCCAGGGACTGGCTGGTATTTACTAGCAGCAGAGTGTCTGAAAGGTCAGGCCACAGTCTTATGGTTTCTCTGCACGTTTTCTTTGGGCCTGGAGTGAGCAGTTGTGCTCACTCATCCGCAGCAAGCAGGGAAGTCAGCTATCCGCAGCAAGTAGGTAAAATGAACGTGCTGAGCTGGTTGGAGGACTAAACCCAGACAGGTGGGATCAAAGGAGCTGCTTTGGGTTTTGTACCTGACTTCAAGCTGGCTTTTCCCTTGAGAGGTCAGCAGACCGTGCTGTAGAGATAACCTATGAGGATATGTCGCTAGTGGGGCTTAGTGAGGGAAGAGGAGCAATGAAGGGAAGAGACCTGACAGAGGTAGAGAACAGGGAGAAAATACACAGGTCTGGCATTTTACTGTGCCTTGCCCTGGGTTTCTTGTGTGTAGCCTTCCTCACTCTCTAATTCTTTCTCTTTTCCATCATTTCTGTGTTGGCTGTCCTGGTAGTGTAAGAGGAAGATTGTTAGACTTCTAGGGTACATGGGACTCCTTTGACACAGCTGCTGCACTGGTCCTGGTGCCAGATCCTGGCCAGGAAGATCCCCTGTATTTCATGGAGGGATCCTGAACTCTTCCCAGAACCGCACAGGGTTGAAGGCTGCACTGAAGCAGTGCTTGTTTTATGCTGTTGATGTGGCTGAGCCCTGCTGAGGTGAGGAAGGGAGTGGAGAAGAGTGTCAGCATCTCCCTCTGATCCATCTGCTCACACTCCCTGCGTCCTCTGGAGAGAAAAATGGGCACTCTGAGGGTTGATTCATGTGCCCAGCTGCAGATGCCCACTTCAGAGGAGAGCCATCACTCTCCTGTCTGCACTAGCAATGACAGGTGCTTTTGTGACTCCCAGGGTGACTCAAGCAGGGAAAACATTTACCCTGTACAAACCTGTGTTTCCAACAGACTCTCAGTACAAATGCGAATCCAAACTTTGCTGTCAGTTTGTAACAGACCAGGATGTGAAAACAAGATTGAGTAAACCATATTTTTCTTCAGAACCATCCTTCAAAGATCTTTGAGTCAGACTTGAGACCTATGTGTTGTAAGTCATAGCCTGCTCTTTGCAAAGTGTAGGATTATAGGGTCCGTGACACTTGTGTTTTGCCCTCAGAAACATTGCTGAAGGGGGCACGTTCCAGCTCTCCCAGCGTGCTGGCAATGCTGTTGAGTGCATCCTGTCTCAATGTGACACAAACAGGTACTGCTGCTCCCAGCCTCTGCATCCATAGACAGGTCCGAAGGGGCTCTGCAGCAACCTGGGGCTGCTTCTGTCTCCTCGCTTCTAAATGACAGGAAGAGTCCAAGGCAAGCAGCTCTGTAGCTGATGTTGTTGTGCCCGGATCCCACTTGAGGCCATGTGCTGGCTGTATGACACAGCCTGCTTTCCAAACTCCCTGTCTGTCTCACTGAGGGAACTCTCTCCTGCCCAGCAAAGGTGAGCAGTGCTGCCAGCTCATGAAGGAGAATTGGGCTGGGCTGCCAGGGACTAGAATTAGAGAGGGCTTGGAGTTCTTGGCCAGAGGTGTGGGCTTCTCTGGGGCTTTAAGTGCGACTGTGAGGTTCTGGGTGAGAGCTGTGGGGTCCTTTGAGAGGCTGCTCGTGCTGGATCCCATCCCATGTAAGGCAGGTGGATGCTTTTCTGTTTCTCGCCATGGTGTTGGTTGGGAATTCCATGCATCCTCAGTGGAGGATTTTCCTGGTTCAGTTTCTGAGGAGCTGGTGGGGCAGGCACAGAGAACTGGTTTATGCAGGTGCTGTATGAACAGCTAAATGAAAAGAACCCCCGAACCCTGCGTTTCTTCTTCCATGGTCAAGCTCTCTCCAGAAATGAGAAGCACCACTTAGGATGGGTTTGGTTATGATGGGGATTTTACTGTTTAGGTCACAAATGTGAAGCTTAGCACGTGTCACCTCCTGCTCTGGTGACGTTGCAAAGTCTTTACTCCCTCCCAGTCCACGATGCCTTCTAGGATTCCTGGATGACGGGGATTTGCTGTCTGAGCTCGATGTGTGATTACTGCAGCCCACTTCCTGCATGTGGCATCAGTTGCATGATGTGTAGAGGAGAGCCTGCCTTTGAACACCCACCGCAGCACGAGCCAGCGGGGTGCCAGGAGGAGCTGTGCTTCAGTGCCCATCCCTTCTGCAGAGGCTCGAACCCCTTCATAGGCTGCCAGTGTCTCTTTCAGTTGGGGTGCAGCCAGCCTAGGGTCCTCTGTGTCCCTGACTCCAAAAGCCAAGGGGTGGAGCTGGAGTCTCCCCTGGAGCTTTCTGCAGGAGGCTGCAGGCAGGACCTTTCTCCCTGGCTGCACTGCAGAGCCCGGTTTTCCCACCTTGCCCTGTGTGGAGTGGCCCGAGGGCTCTGTCATGACCTGTCCCTGGTTGTGCCAAGACTTCTTGTTGCCCAGGGTCCCATCTGTAATCCTCCTTCTTCTGGGTCGCTGCTAGAGAGGGCTCACAGTCAGGCTGTAATCTGCGATGTGCATTCTCCAGAAGCCCACAGCACCTAAGAAATCTTGTGTTTCTTCTCAAAAGAAAGATGCCAAAACACAGCTCTGCACCAGCTCCTAGGAACAAACTGAGCTCTGTTCCAGCTGAACCCAGAACAGCAGCCACCCTTTATTCCATACCCATTCACGTCATGCCAGGTCCCACACTTTCCACCATCACCTTTCCTGTCCTTTGAGAAATACATATATATATATATATATATATATATGTATGTGTTACATATACACATACATATATAAACACACACACAAACACACACAGATATCATTCCCGTAGTCTCTGGACCATCCCTACAAACGTTGTTTGAGTTCCTTCAGTCCGTGACTTGGGCTCCATCTGTGGTGAGTGTCTCTGGGCAGGAAAGATGGATGGTGTGTGGTGGTGGTGGTGGGCTCTTGGATGCTGAAGCTGCTTGCGATGCCACCAGGGCTGCCCTTGTCCGGTTTGATCAAGGTTCCTGCTTCCTTGATGTGGTGATCAAAAGGGAGCCAGGTTCAGATGCTCAAATGCAGAGCAGCAGAGATGGGTGCCATGAGGTGTCCAGCTCAGTGATGGGTGTATGGCTGCCATGGAAGGGCGAGTGGGTGCTGCTGATCTCTGCTTAGCACTGTTGTGGTCGCGTTTGGCACTTGTTGTGGTTGAGCTTCAGCAACCCCCCAGCAGAGAGAGCAGGCAAGGCAGAGAGCTGCTTCATTTCCTGTGTCTCTAAAGCAGCTGTGTCAAAAGGGCAGAGGTACCCTTCTTGGTGCTTGAAATGCCTGTGGGCCAGTGACAGTGGGGTGCTTTTGCAACGCCTTCCCAGCCAGGCTTATCTGAGTTGGGATGCCCCTGTCACTCCAGAAATGCAAATAGATTGTGACCCTCAATGGTATTAGGGTGCGCTACTGGTGTGTCTCGTAGGGCCTTATGATTCTGTGTCTCTGATGTGTCAAGGCCATCTAAACCACCCAGTCCTGTTACCGTGGTTGTCCCTGCCCTCCATGTGGTTGTTGGCCCAGTCATAGGATGCTCCACTTGGTCCTTGCAAAACCAGGTTCAAATTCATTACTCCAGGAGGAGGTGTAAGTTCAGCCCTCCCACTCTGTCTTTGAAGCTGTCCAGTGGAGACTGGAGCAATGTCTCTTGTGGAAGAACCCTCCTTTGTGCTTGTTTTTCCTTGAAATTCATGTACAAGTTTCTCAATGATTTTATACATGGCAAACTCCTTCCCAGAGTGAACCATGCCAGTTTGGTGTTGAAAGGTCCACAAAGGACTGCATAAGCCTTCTTCGACGTGAGGCTGCTTAGGGCTGTCTGACATACCTTCCTTATTTTAGGAGCTGATGAAGTGGGAGAGAAACTCCCACATCTCCTCTTAAGTGAGCTCCTCGCCTGTGTACATGATGACTGTGACCGTTTGGGACTGGGACTCCCTTGTTTTACACTCTGATTTTCTGAGCTCTCTGTAGTCATCGCTGTTATTTAAGATTCTGTTGTGCTTTCGTGTTCCTGCAAAATCAGTAATACAAAGTCAGTACTGCAAAATACATCACCCAGGCACATGTTCTCATGACAGCATCAGGTTTTCTACATACTCCACAGGCACACAAACTTACCGATTTCTTTGGAAACTTGCGTTTCGCAAGGATGCTGGAAAAATCCAGGTTTGAGGGCAGAGGTTCAATTGGCCAAGCA